GATGTGGTTAAAGTGAAAGTAAATTTAATTCCAGGCATGTTTAAGTTTTAAAGTTGTTGTGAAATTACACAATTAAACCCTTGAACGGTTCAAATTTGAACTATTCAAGGATATTCTTTATTAAAATACAATTATTTAATGTTTGTTATATGCGTATTATCTTTAACTAAAGATAAAATATTGTATTTTTTAAAATTATTTTTTTTTATTTTTTCAATCTTTGTTGTATAGTAAATATCAATCAAATCAATATCAAAAAGAGTTTTAATTTTAGTATTGAATTCTCTGTTAAAAACAAGATATACATGAATATTCTTCTCTTCTTGATACAGAAGATATGAACGAATAATTATATTTCTTTCTGAACAAACAAATTGTAAATGTTGTAGAATATCTTCCAAATCTAACTCACATTCTTGATATGTTAAATGAATTGTTTGACAGTAGATACGAAAATTTTGTGTCATTGTAAAATAGAGAAGACAATCAATGTTTCCGTCTAAATCATAATCTGTCCTATTTATAGTTTTTAATTAGATAATTGTCATTCTAAATTAAGAATATAGACGAATAAGAATGAAAATTCTGAATAATTTTACCAATCGGTGTCCAAAATTCTTGAAATTTCATCAGGCAAAACTTGAGAACATGCTTGACAACTCTTGTTAACATGCAGTCGTATGTTTAGACCGAATTTACAAAAAACCTACAATGATATCATGATTTTTTGTCCCTCTTCATCAAAAACGCAGAAATGTCTTACCAAAGACAATGTAAAATTTGAATATCTTCACGTGTTTTGATCCAAATAAGCTCAAATTTCACAGACAAACTCTTGAATACCATCCCTAAAACTTTTGTTAGAATCGTACAACATGTTTCATTTTTACTGTTGTATCCAAATCGATCGATACGTTCCTAACAAAAATAAAAAATTCGTTATTAGTTATCGTTAGAAAAATGTAAATAACTTGAGGAATATACACGCAAGCAAGCTAAAAATTTAGATCCTAGCTCTTGAAAACCATGAGAACAACTTTTGTTAGAGACGTAAAGATCGTTTCATTTGAAGAAATTGGTTTTCTGATCGATTAAAGTTGAGTCGGCAATTTACGAAAACGTATGAGCGAATGAAAGATAAAAAATGTGAATATCCTTACGAATATTTGGTCAAACAAGCTAAAAATTGAGATTCGAATGGTTCGATATCACATCAAAAAGTTTACTTAAAAGCGTAAAGGTGGTTTTCTTGCGAGAAAGTTATCAAAAATCACATTGAAGTGTGGCTATCCTGACGGAAAAAACTAAAAAAAGATACGTTGAAAATCTTTTTTTTCATTGCTTAAATGCATTTTTTCATGTCGATCCTTACTATGAAAAACATATAGTAAAATGGGCAAAAAGGCGGTAGC